GCCCGGAGGATTGTTTGAAGGGCAAGCGGGTCCTGGTGGTGGACGACAACCCGGTCAACCGGAAGGTGTGCGTGGCCCTGCTCCGTCGGTTTGGGTGTGTGACCAGGGTGGTGGCCGACGGGCAGATGTGCCTGGACACCCTCGAAGACGACCACTTCGACGCCATTCTCATGGACTTCCTCATGCCCGTGCTTGGTACGCACGACACGCACGACACGCACGGAACACGACACTACACGCAACCTAACATTCTTGGCGTGGCAGATGGCCTTCAGGCGACCACAAGAATACGGCAGGACGAAGCGAAGCACGGGTGCAGACCGGTCCCGATCATTGGGCTCACGGCGACGGCCACGGCGGAGGCTACGGCGCGGGCGCACGAGGCCGGTATGAACGACGTGCTCACGAAACCGTTCGACCACGATCAACTGGCAGCCGCACTCTCTCGGTGGGTCGTGGCACGACCTGAATAGGAAATGTACGAAGTGTAAGAAAGCAAACAGAAAATCTGCCTATAGAGCTTCAACGTTGAAGAGGTACTGGAAAGGAACTGCTTTGGTCATGGGTGCGGCCTTTGTGTTGCCGCAGTGCGAGCACTGTCCATGCTCCGCCCCCCCCCTTATTATAATCAATAAAATAAGAGTTTTGGACAAAAACAAATAATAATACAAAAAATCAACATGGTGCATGATTTATTATTTTGAAGTTCTCCATCATGGAAACTCTTCAAACTGGAAGGACTCCACTGACACTACAGCTCAGGCCAGCACATGGATAACCATGTACACCAAGCTGAAGCAGCAGAAGCTGGATCACCTCAAGCTTGTTGAGGTGGAGTGGAAAGCTGTCTCCCCTCCACCAGCAGGAGGCTGTCCAGTGCAACCTTGTCAATTATCATGACAGTTCAACTGATGTCATTCTAGAGAATGGTTCTCACCCTTCCAATTATCATGACAGTTCAACTGATGTCATTCTAGAGAATGGTTCTCACCCTTCACTTGGCTGTTCCTGCAGCAGGACTATGTCCATTGACTCTCTACCTACAGTTTGACAACTGCAGCTGGGAGAATAAGAACAAGTACATGCTTGCCTACTGCCACTGGTGTTCAACAAGGTGTTTTGATTGATCACCATATCCTGCCTGTGGGACACACCCATGCAGATATTGACCAGAAGAGTTGACCTTTGTGATTGGCATGAAGTTCAATCCATGGGTCCTGACTGGTGAGGCATTCAAGCAAGGTCTGCAGGACTGGTATTCTGCACCCTTCTAGAAGGCTCATTGCTCTCCTTATCACCTTGACTTCTCATTCTTGTAGCTGACTTATCTCTGTGCAGTGCCTGCAACTCCTCCCCCCATCCCTACTAAATCCAAGAAGACCCCTGCTGAGAAGGCTGAGGCACTCAAGAAGAAGAAGGTGGCCAAGAAGGCCACTTCAGCACAAGCAGAGAGATTTGCAAGTGCTCTTCAGACCACAGTCTCACAGATTCAACACCACCTTGAGCTCAAAAAGCAACCAGTACAACATTCTCTTTTTTGTGCATGCACCCAATCTGACACATGTCACATATTTTTTTTATTGTCAATTTTATTCTATTTCTTATTTTATGTTTGTGTTGTCACATTTCCACTTTCCTGTTGCATCCTGCTGACCTGACATGTGTCAGATCAGATATTTCTTTTTTATTGTTAATTCTATTACACTTGTTTTTTCATGTTGCTTTTGTTGTGTGTGTGCTTTCTTGGTCATGTGCATGCCAACTATCCAACACACAGCCAAGTAGTATGACTGATTATTTCTCTTCTCTTAATGCAGGTCTCAATCTACATGCATGATCTTGGCATATAATGACTACCTTCTTTACATCAACAATACAGTTCACCAACAAGGCCTCCAACTTTGAGTACCCACCCAAGGGCTACATGACCTGGGCCATGCACTTCCTTGCTCAAGGAGTGGATGACAACACCCTCCAGAGCTGATGCCTTCAACACCCTCAACCATCCCCTCCTTACTCCTGAGAATCCTCCCCCTAGTCTCACCTCCACTCACCTAACCCCCACTCCCAGTCACAACTCTTTCAATTGGTGAACCTAGTTCTTTTCTTCCAGCCAAATAAACCTCTTTACTCACCCCTCTTCAGTCTAACTTCTACAACACCTCAGAATTCCCAGACATCACATTTCACAAGACCACCCATATTTGCACAACAACACAGCTCTTGATTTGTACATTTCAAATTCTCTTTCTGCAGGATTTGCACATAAAAAGCTGAAAAAAATGGCACTTTTGCACAGTTCCATACAGAAAAGTGCATTTTGACCTTAAAAAAGGTCAGTGACCCTTTTTCATGAACACTTGGTTAGATGAGGTATACTATATGATGCAAACTGATGAGAAAGAGAAAAAGATGATCTTTCTGGGGCTGTTTTACCATTTATTTCTTTTAGAAAAAATACAAATAGGTAAAACAAGTTGTCTGCCAGCTATTGCATTAACTCAAGTTGACTTAAGTTATTTTGGGTTTTTTTGCTGTCAACAAGGGTTGACTGCAGTTGGAAGTTGGGCCATGACAAAGCAATGCCAGTTGAAGCATGTTTGTGTAAGTTCCTAGCAAATAAAAGCCAATAAACACAAAAAACTGGCAAATGAAGAAAAGGAGAATAATGATGAAACATAAACTGACACATCTTGAGCACAATGCACTGTGCTGTTGAGGGATGGATTTTTAAGATGGTGGTGAGGAAGGTAGATGGGGTAATGATGGAGGAAAATGAGAAATAAATAAACACATGACAGAGGGGAGAGCATGTGGTCATGGCAGTCTTGCTTGGTCATGGAGTAGGCTGCAACAAGTTCCTCAATCTCCCCCTGTGGGATGCCCAGCAGTTGTTCATGCATCTCCTGTGGTAGTGAGTTGACATAGTTTGTGTATCAGGCTGTACTTAGGTAAATATACAGATAAAAGAGAACAAAATAGCAAGGTGGTACCTTCCCCTTCAGCCCCATGGTTGTCATCAACATCTGGGCTGCTGGCATTGCCATCGCTCTTGCTGTTGGCTTCTTCCACCTTGCTCTCTTGTTGAACTTTGTGAAGAAGTAGCACACAAGGTGTGATCCCTTGCAGAAGTAGAGGAGTTGGTTGCTGTTGTGGTGGTGGTGTGTCCACAGTGATGGATTTGCTGGGTCAGAACAGTAGCTTTACCAACCTTCAGATTGTGGACCCTGGCACATGGTGGGTGATGTCTCAATCTCTCCCTCATTGTCATCCTCATCTGGTTGTGATCCTTCCACAAGTGAGTCCACCATCTGATCTCTGTGGTGCTTGAGGACATTGAGCTGCTCATTGATGAGCTCTTTGAATCTCTGCTGGTCTGTTGAGCTGATCAGATGGCCCTTGTGGCACAGCATGAAGGAGTGGAACTGGCTGATCTGCACCTTGGGGTAGGGGATGTTGGGGCTGGACTTTGATTGGCTGCACAGGACGCAGTGCTTGCCCTGCATCTGTTGGAAGGAGAGTGGTGGAGAGGTGTTGGAATTGGTGGGTGTTGCTGTCGTGGTTGGGGCAGGAAGGCTTGAGGGGGGGTGGGAGTTTTTGTTTTTGTGCAAGAAGTCGAGTCACATATCGATTGATCACCTCCTGCACGCCGGCAGTTTCTTCTCCTTGCTGCTGCCCTGAAGCGCCTCCCGTTGTGGTGACTTCAGTCGTCTTCGCATCTCCTGCTTTCCCACTGGCACCCGCATGCACGGCTTGTCTTCGCCCCATCTTTCTTCTGCTCCTCATTTTCTCTTCAGGTTTGCTTCTTTTGGGGACGCGCATCTCGCCACGAGCGGCGATGGCCACGCAGGAACCACAACTTCGACCACCACAGCGGAGCGCAAGGAGGACTGGAAGTGCGTTGCGTGCGACGACCACCAATTCGCACGCAACACGCACTGCCGACGATGCGGCAGAGACGTCTACTACTGGCGGGAGGAGGAGCGGCGCACGAGGGACGTGCAGGAACACTGGAGCGAGGGCATGTTCCTCGCCAAAGCCAGCTACGACCCACACTGGCATGCATGGGTCGAGTCTGGAATGTCTGTTACACCTGGCCACGACGGGCTATGAACATAACATGTGTTACATGCGCATGTTATGTTTATAAAACACAACACTACGGTCACCCGCGCTTGGTTTTGGCGTTGGGGATCTGGCACTTGCGGTTCTTGGGGCAGTAGCAGCAGGCCCAAGTGGGCTTGTGGTTGGGCATGTAGTTCACCACTGTGTGGCCCTTGTGGCACTCCTTGGCGCAAGCCTCGCACACCTGCTCAATCGCACGCATGAGAAGAGCACACCAACGCACAAAGCTTGCACTACACGACCGCACACGACCACACACGACCGCACACGACCGCACACGAGGCAAAGCGAGACATACCCAGGTGATCTTGCAGTCCTTGCACACGAAGTAGTTCTCCACTTGGTTGCCGCCCTTTTGGAAGCGGAGGGTGAAGCACTCGTGCGTATCGCCCTGCATCTTGATCTGCCCTCTGAGCTCAACGTCGCAACCTTTTGCGTTGCATGTGTGCCGTGAGTTTCATGCGCATGTGCGTGCGTGTGGTGCGTGTAGTGTGTGTG